ATACTTCTCGTCAATGAGATAGAATGAAAAGTAGGACATATTAAACCTTTTGTCAATGGAATTTTGTAGAGCAAGCAGTACTGTACACATTGAGACACGCTGGACCTTTTAATTTTTCTCTTGCTTAAATTCTAGGAGATAATTTTACGTTATGAAAAATGAGTGAATGAGTGCAAGAATAAAGAAATAAATGAAACCAGGCGTTAGCAACGTTTATTTCTGAAGTACAAAAACAAAAGTCTAATGAAAACCGTGTTTAAGAAAATTAGTTTTCAACGGTGTCTCCAGCTACGGTTCAAAAATTCGTAATTCGCTCAAAAAGCATGGAAACGGATTAAATATATCAGGATACCGTAAATTTCATCTGCTAAATGTGATTATGCGATCGCATATAATGAGAAATAATTTCATAACAATTGACGATTCTCGTTTTGATTATCACTGATCGTTTGGACTATAGAATACAATGTCTAGAATTGTCAAACATTTCATTTTCACTTCATAAATTGTTCTAATTTCGTTTGTAAATCTGTAATGAACAGGACGTAGAATAGGATAAATACGGTATATCCTGAAATGTTCAACTCTTTCTGATGCTTTCTGAGTAAATCAGGAATTTCTTAACCCTTGGTGGAGGCAGCCTGAAAATCTCAATTTTTATAAGACTCGATTTTCGCTATTTCTTTGAAAGTTGGACCAGATTCAGCGTGGCTGATTACTTATGTCTGTTGCGCTTTTACGCTTTGGCCTGAGAGTTGTTTTATTTTTATTTTCTTGTATCTCCATAAATACTAAAGCTTGAACGCTCATTTATTTCACTTTTATTTCTTGCAAATCTTCACAATCTCGGTAATGTTCAGCTCAAAATATTCTATATTTCTGGGGAAAGTAAAATTTGATTGCAAAAATATCCCATGCTTGTTTCTGTTCTAAAATGATTCGAGAGTATTACACTGTTTTATTTTGGTGTAAACGTGCTCAAAACTCAACTTATTGCATACCATTCGATCTGTCTTCACAAGGGCTATCTGGATGAGACTTTGTAATATGATGTGCGTTCATGTGTGACTGAGATGCAGCTAAACGAAGTTAATTTTCAAGATACTTTTCTATATGGACGCTACAATGGTAGTGAAAATAAATGCCTTACTGTCTGTCTAATAATTAATTAGGACTGATCACTTTTTAAATACAGGTGATAAAGACTTGCAATTTTCACCATCTTACAGCAAAGGCTTCTGTCCATCTTTCCATAACCAAAAAGAATTTAAAAACTGTCTCAAAAACCTTGATTTGCAGTGACGTGGCAGGGGTCTCCAAGGAGACTCAAAACTGGCACTCAGTTAGTTGGAGTAACCTTGACAGCGCATACGTAATTGATCACGCTGAATCTGGCAATGTTTACCTTTTATGTTTTACCTCCGCAAACGATTTTTCTAAAACCCATCAAAAGCAGGGAAAGTTCTATGCTTTTCTCCTTAATAGAGGAAAAGAAGTGGGGTTATTGAAGCTAAAACCCAACATTTTTCAATTAAACTTTTGCGTCACTTGAGAAAAGAACGGGGGCCGATTAGAGGCAAAATCGACCCCCTCTCAGATCCATCTCGTATTCACAGGTCTGATGTAGTTTTTCTCCGTGAATAAAACTAGCACCTTAAAAGACTCATTTTCACCCACTCGACAGAGAATTCCACAGCCTATAAAATGATATATAAAATGTTGAGATCAAATTGGGGCTGGGTGTCCTAACGCTAGAAATACTACTAGAGAGCGATGTTTTCGGCATCGACGGATAGGCTAAATCTATATAAAACCGACCACCATTTACATCAACCTTTCACGCCAATGACGAGACCTACCTCATATTATAGAGCTCAGTAAGCTGAACCGAATGATGGAAACCGCAAGTATTTAGCCTTGTTAGAAAAAGAGCTATAGCCATTTTACCCTCGCAGCAGAAAAATACATTTTCATCATTTTCCGGTCAGCAACTTGGTCAGCATCTCGTTTTATGGAGAATTGAAGAGTCTATCTAAGGCTATGGTGAAAAAGCTTTGGAAAGAAACTTTAAGATCTTTGGGTTTTCTAGGAAATCGGGTTTTTCCGAAATCGCGATCTCAAGACTCCCAGGTGCAACATAACTTTTCTCCTTCGAAATGTATAGAGCTCGACCGTTGTTTCATTTGATACTAACTTCAAGGTTCTACGTCAGGGAATGTGGTCAGCAGACGAAATTAGATGAACGAGAAGCTTATATTGATTGTGTTAAAAATTTCATTGATATTTTTTCCAAATTGGTTTAATTTTTTATTAGATGGACATTATTTTGAACGAAAAACATTACAAAGTTATTATACAATTTCTTCAAGCATTTTCACGTTATGTTGATGGACAAGCGTCACAAGCAGCTTTTAATGCAGTCGATAATAAAAAATAAAAAAGTGAACTTCTAAAACTTGTTGCTACTGTATTTTCTATAGCTGGAAGTGCTGCTTCTGCTAAATTAGCGGTGTCTGTTATTGAAAAATTATGGTCAAAAGATGAAAAAGAAAAAGAGAAAAATATTTTATTATTTCAAAAAAATTCACATAATTTTATTAAAGAAGTTGCTCGATTAAATAAAGCTGTTCCTATGGTGAAAGTATTGGCTACTAGTGAAACTGTCAATGAAATTGAAAATAATTTTAAAAATAAAAATTCAGATATAAAAATTTATGAAAATACACCGTTACATTGTTCAATTATTAATGCAAATTGCGATAAAAAAATATTGCAAAATCCGGATGATTTCTTAACAGATCGGGCTGAAATAAATAAAATAATTGTATGGAATGGAGTTGAAAAAGATATTTTGAATATGGATGAAAAGAAAAGACCCATTCGTTATTGTCCCGGTCATGATTTATCTATTGATGCTATTAAATATGTTGCCGAACGGTTTTTACCCTTTCTATTCGATAGTACGGACAATCCTACTTGGTAACAACAAAGAACAGAAGAGACAAATTAGACTAGGATACTTTTCCACCGCTACCGAAAATTTTTTGTCTGAGAGAGAGAGTGCTCAGAGATGCCACCAGTCAACAAAATCTTGACCGGTACCGGCCGGTCACCGGTGGCCGGCGTAAATATGGCGGCCGGTTGACCGGCCATTTTTCAAAAACTTTGACCGGTAAGCGACAGGTGTTTTTTGCTGTCTTTTCGATATAAATATGCTATTTTCTGTCATATGTTCTAGCTATAAGCCAAGCCAACCGGTCCCGGTCCAGCAGCTTGACCGAAACCGGTCCAACCGGCCGATTGATAAGTCTCGACCGGACCGGAAACGGGCGCCCGGTCCGGTTGCATCTCTGGATCCACTATCATAAAGTCTGAGCACATAATGCTGGGTCCTCTTCCTTTGTTATAAAACGGTGCATTCCCAGGAATAATCCAACGTTTTGCTGATACTTCACCAGACTTACAGGTGTCCTCATCATGACCTAAACATTTATAGCAAAAACGGAAATCTTAGTCGAGTTTTGCGAGTCAAAAAATATACTATGCGCCTATAAATTAATATCGTCGGCTGCGCTTTTTGAACTAGCCACTTAGCTTCTTTATTATTTGAAATTAGATAGAAAGTTTATTCGCGTTCAACAAAATATTTGATAAATGCTTCACGATGTTTCACTACATCCTCTCTTTCGTGGCCTAAGAGATACGGACGTCCTGTGTTTAAGTCAAATCTTGCGCCTTACTTTCGGATATCGAGTCTACAATTTTAAACTGATCTGACATGGAATCTGATCTGATTTCATGGAAACAATCATTAATAAATCTAGCCAAACTTTCTAAAAATGTCAAAAAACCTGCATAAAATCGCTTCTATACGCGCAGATTTCAACAAACGGCTCATACCAGCAGTGATAGATGTTTCTTTCTTTTTACACTGATCCATAACAAGCTGTCTTGCGGCCATTTCAATATCAGGATATTCATCATAAAATGCATCTTCTCTTTTTCCATCTATACATTTTCGACAGTAAAAACATTCGCATTCCGAAAGCTGCCACAGAAAAATGCAACAGACCTTTGTAAAATCATCAAAATCATTATTAACTAAAATATTTAACCATTTGTCTGCTGTCATTGGCGTCATTCCTCCAATTCTTCTTAAAAATTCACCTGTTTCTCTTCAAGAAAGACCAAAATGACGCACTGACATATTCAACAGGCAGCTGATAAAACATGTGTTTATTTGTTCACGACAAAACGAAAATAGATCAGTGACATCGTCGACAATTGAGGGATTTGTAAAATCAATATGATGAACTTCATCATCTTTATTGACTACTGCGACCATGTCTTTTTCATCACTAGTTGATTTATCCGCTTTATTTCTTGTCGAGGGTTTGCCCTACATCTATCAAAGATTTAATATTGTTTAATTATCATCACAAGAACTATCATAGGCAAAATGCTCATTAAAATGCCGAGATGATAATCAAGAAAATAAAGGATTATCTTCTCCTTCTTCTTCTTTAAGTATCATTCTCATTCATTTGAGAAACATGGCTTTATCAATAGTCACGCTCCTGGCAATTTACTTGCAACTGAGCCGTACAGTAGCAATTGCTCTGTTTATTTTGGGTCAAATCGGTAACATTCTAAGCGTAGTTGTATTCGCTCGAAAACCATTGAGAACGAACTGTTGTTCATTGTACCTGTTGGCATCGTCAGTGACAAATATTTTTTCATTGAATTTCGGCCTATTATTTTTTATTTTCACTGGCTATGGAATTAGTTTAACAGACAATTTTCGCAGCATTTGTAAACTGCAGCTCTATTTCTACGACGTTAGCATCTTTTTATCATCGTGGTTCATCATGTTAGCTTGTGTCGATCGTTATTGTTCGAGCCATCCGTCGGCAAGACGCCGACGATTTAGCCGTTTGTCATTGGCTTATCGTTTGATTTTGGTGGCAACGCTTCTCTCGTTCACTTTACATACACATTATTCAATATTTACTGATATTATAAACGGAAAATGTGTATCTACATCCACTGTGTACGCATTTTTTGCCGTTTTCTATTACATCGTCATTTATACATTTCTAACCCCAACAATTTACATAATATTTGGTCTATTAACAATCAAAAATGTCAAACATTCTCGCCAAATAATTGTGCCAACAACTGCATCGTCCCAACGACGAACAATAAACACACAATTAATTTACATGCTTCTCATTCAAGTTGCATCTCATATTTGCTTGACGGTTCCATTGGGAATATTTAATTTATATTCTGGCATTACTGCATTAACGCCAAATAAATCACTTGATAGAATTTTAATTGAAACATTAATCCAAGTGATTGTTTATCTAGTCTCATTTCTAAATAGCGGTTCGAACTTTTACATTTACCTAATAACAGGGAAATTATTTAGGCACGAATTAGTTAAAATAATTCAATTTGTTTTCCTAAAATTGACAAGACAAAGGCAACGAAATTCACAGCAAAAACCGGCAACAACAACCATGGCAGTGTATCATTTAAGATCGAACCAAACCGACATTGCTAGACAATATTTTGAATAACGCTATCTACTTCTTTTGACAAAATATTCCCACGGAAAATTATGTCAGCTTGAAACTTCGGTGTGTCGAATGGAACTTGACGAGCTCTATCCAATGGGGTATCTTACAGGCATACATCTCAACATCACTGTCTGAGATTTTCACGTATGAATTGGTAACCGACTAGGGATATTACAGACGAAAATATTTTGCCTAGATTCGTTTCCACCTAGAGGTTTCTCGCGATTTTCATCTAAACTTTCCACCATTTCTTTTGGGAGACATACCATTCCGCTTAGTAGACTGCTAACTGTCTCTTGATAAAAATATTTTTAAGAAATTTCGAGTATTGGGGGTCAAAAATCCAGCTGGAAGCCGCACAGACCAAAATTTTGGTAAAGTTGAGATTTTGAAACTAAGTCTAAACTTTAACGCAATCAGAAGGACATCGTTAGAAAGAGTGCGTAAAACTGTATTTAGTGCAGCGGTTTTCACCGTGAATTTGGCAAACACAATACATCTTTTAAATCGAATCAAAAATTTTTACTATACATGAACAAAATTACTAAACTTTGAACGTGAAAGTCGACACTGATAAAGTTGCAAAAAAAATTTTGTCCTCAGATACGTCTGATAGAGCATACGGTTCTCTACATTTATGTGAAAAAGTTTTTTGAAAACCTCAGTGGAATAAGGAATTAGTCATAGTAACAAAAATTTGGACCGAATCCTTCAAAAAGCGAAAAGCTGCTATTTTTCAATTTCCTCCGAGTATTCTCAGACATCTCTGAGAAAGCTGACTCAGGCTGAGCAAATTCAAAAATAGCGGCTTTTATATCTTTAGTCAAACTTTGACTAAAGATATTCTTTTGCGAATGCACACCAGGTGAAAAATGCGTGACAAGTAGGGTGGCTCTATAATTTTGGCTACCACTGTATCACCCTTCTAGCAGGTCACCAATTGACCTGAGAAATGTGTGTGTTTTTTCCGTCATATTGCACAACATCGATGTCTATGACAGATTTCAGTAGCCTTGCTTCAGAATATCTTTTTATTTTTTTTAATTTTTTGGACGATCACAATGGTTAGAGTGCGTTTGACTCTTTAAATGGGGAAATCAGTACCGTTATACATGATCTCCAGTTACGTAAACATTGTAATGTTGATTCTTTTATAAACAATTCAATATAAGCATGATATTCAAGCTACAAACTGATAATAACTTTGGCTGTGAAATATGTTCATTAATAATATATCATGATAATCATTTAAATTTCAATCATCTTACCACTTTATTCCAATATCTGGCCAATTTAAAATATTTTAATATTAATATGTATCACTAGTGTGGCTCTTGTGCCACTATATAGTCACTACCGCCATTAAAGACATTAAAATTAACAATCAATAGCGTTCGTGCTTCTGTTCACACCTTAAAGGATGTAATATTTTGTTTTCCTGGATTAATTAATTTTCAATTATCTGATTCATGTTATAATATGAGTAAATGTACTTTTAATCACTAAATAACGATACAAATGATCAGTGATCATTTGTATCGTTATTTAGTGATTAAAAGTACATTTACTCATATTATAACATGAATCAGATAATTGAAAATTCATCATTGATCACCAAATACAACCGTTCGGATGTTATTGAGCAATATAGGGCCCAATTGCCTCGTACCAACATGAGAAAAAAACAAAATTTCTCTTTTCTCGAAAACTACTAAATATTTCTAAAAAAATGTCGATCACTTTTTTCCTACAAGTATACTGATTAGAAGGAAATGATTCCAAGTTTTTTATAGTTGGCTTGTTTAGCAGAAAAAGTTCCTCAAAACATATATTCGAATAATTTTCTTTTTTTTGGAAGCAATTTATTTATTTATGTAAAGTGCAGAAGTTGGTAACGACAAACAAACTAGTACTAATCATTTTGCTTTAAAAACTCTTTCTAAACTCATTTTCTTTTAAGTTTTCGTAAATTTTGTATTATGGATAATTTAATAGAATAAAGAAAATAAAATAAAAAGAAGTGCTGTGATATTTTAATTTGGATACACGTGTAAAGTGATGTTTATAAAGCCTTTAACTTACAAAATAACATTTTGCATGATAGATGCCGCTTTCCATCAGTAATAAACGTTTTTTAAGCCGAATAAAGCGAAGAGATCGTGGTTGGGCTTTTTGCATCAAACAACGACGAAAATTAGTGTGATACGTATTGTTTTAGGAAAACTTCCACAAAAAAGGAACTTTTCTATCATAATCGACTGAGACAGCAAAAGTTGCTTGGTTGGTTTTTACTTATTTTAACACTGACTGGATCAATATTGCCATATGCTCAGGTCAGATATCCGGAATGAAAATTCCGAAATGCGCAAAATTTCGTTAGAAAGCGGAAAAAACGGATGATCCAACTTCATCCTTTTTCACCCGCAGAGAGTCAAAGCAATGTTTTCTCTAGCACTTTGTGGTTTTTCTCAATAAAACAACAAACAGAAATGTAAATCTCGATTTTAATTGACGCGTTGTTTTCTGACTGTATATTTTTGATTAGAATGAATAAGTTTAAGCAGTTCTGGCGTTGATAAGAAGCAATTATAGATTTCAGTGCATGATAATGATGAGTTTAAACGAATTTTTAACTCTGAGGAAAAACAGCAACAGCAGAAAATGCTTAAAATGCGGACAAATTGTCAAAAATCTGGGATTTGTCCGCAAAATGGGGACCATGTGGCAACTCTGGACTGGATACTCTTATATTCCGCTCATATTGCATTGCATCCTTATAGACATTTATTTAGAATAATCTTATATCTTTTTAGTCGGTTTCTCTCGTTTGTCTTCATTTTATTACAAAAAAATACAACGAAAAAAGTCGTTTAAAAATAAAAATTATCTGATACAAACCAAAAACTAGATTGTCAATAAAAAGAAAAGTGATTTAAAAAAAAACAGTTAATGTTCTTTCTTAGTCGGTTACACTAAGTGTAGCCCAATAATAACAATTAAAAAAAATATGAGCATACAAATATATTAATAAAAAATGTATCAGAGAGAGAGAGAAAGAGTATCAGTTAAAAAAATAAAGTTTTTATGAAAAAATCATTCTCTTTCATCGGTATCTAATTTAAAAAAGAAGTCTGTTAAGAAAGAAAAGCTATGATCAAAATACTATTAGAGACTGTATTACTCACCATTCTTTAACTTGAATTTTCTCATAAATACCAACCACTTTAACATTTGTACATAATCATATGGCACATTATATGCTACCCCGGAATATTCTGGTGGCATTCCTTCGTCCAAATCTTGTAAAATAATTTCAAATATACGCTGAATCGATGCTGGATCGTCAAGATTAAAATTTTGTGTGATTTCCCGAACATCACCATGTAAATCATTTAATATTCGCTGGACCGATAACTGATGTAGCTTTGCTACAGTTGACAGATGAACAAGGACATTGCCATCGATGTCAAAAGGGGAAGCGTCTAAAACCGCCGAACCACGATTCTGTCTCTGTCGATGCCTAAATGGAATTTCACCATGATGATAAGAGCAATGGGATAATTCGTGGATCACTTGGCGTTTATGTCGACTTAAACTTGAATGAAAATCAACATTTGTTTTGGTTCGGGCGACGTGGGTCAACAAGCGCTAACCAGAGAAAGTGTGTTATGTTGTTTTCTCGAGTCTGAGACTTGCAGTCAACGTGCATAAAAACTTTTATAAAAACACTGTACAAAGAAAACAGTATGACGTTAAACAGCCTGGTATCTTTCTGGTACGTGACGATTTCTTCTTCCGATAACATTTTCATTATGAGACGTTGAATCTTTTAATGTATTAAGATCACGATCACCACTAAATGAAAAAGAAAAACAATAGAGATGAAGTGAAAGATACTACTCGTAATACCGTAATCGTTTCCGTGGTACTATGGTTGATAAATTTTCCTTTGTTGGGAAATTTTTTTTAATTTTTTAATTTTTGTTTTGTGATGGTATTGCTGCTGTTGTTCGTTTATCTTCAAGGAAACAAAAAGAACTTATCATCATTATAGGAAGGAAATACTGTATATGATTTGATATTTACTTTTTTCTTCGTTTTCTTCTTCTACTTGTTCTTTATCATCACCTTTCGTTGTTGACGGCTCACCTAGAAAACATTAGTAATTTACTATGTATCTTTGTTCTAATTAGCTGTATTAGTCTTACATTGATCATTACTCATTTTATGCTGTTCATTATCTTTACTTTCTTTTTGTTCTTCAACTTCATCATCACTAAAATTAAAATTATATCATAAACAGAAAAGTCATAGTTCGGTGCTTACTTCATATCATCATCAACACCTTTTACCGATGGACAAGTAAAACAAGAATCACAAGAAATCATCCGACACTTCTCAAGAAACAACATTAAACCCACATCAAATTTATTATAGAGTCACTTGGGGTAATTATGGCCAGCACCTCAAATTTTCATAGTATTTTGAGCATATTTAAGCCGTTTTCAAATGGACATAGACGAAATTGACCATGTAGGTAGACCTGACTCTTGGCTATCTGTTGATGTAAAAATCTTCTTAAAATTCATTAGCCTTAATTAGTACTCATCAATTTCCAGTCCGTAGTCATCAACTGGTCATAATTACCCCACTTGGGGTAATTATGGTCAGTCAACGTGCACCGTTGGGATAATTATGGCCAGTCCAGCTAAAATGGCTGGAAGAAAGTAAAACAACTCTTTTTCAACGGTGAAGTCTCATGTTTTTAGTTAAAAAGTAGCCAGTTTTGTAGAGAATTTTTGGCTCTATCTTCCACATAAATTGCCAGTCTCTCGGACTTATCCCTAATTAATTAATTAGAAATTATGAAAATAAAAGAAAACAGTCGTTTTTTCTATATATATGCTGTGGGGTAATTATGGCCACTCTACTATTTTTCATGGGGTAATTATGGCCAGTACGTCTAAATCACACGGAATACACAGAAAACAACTTTCACCATCTCTCAGAGGCCGATTTTGATACTATATCAAATGACAAAATTATTTCGAACCTTGAACTTTATCACATATGTGAAAACTGGAAGTAAATAAAATATTTTTAACAATTTTTACGCACATAATGAGCATTGTCAATTTTAAACATATGTTTTTTTCACTAAAATCATCAAATAATTAAGCCAGAGTTATTATTTGCAGTCAAAGTTCAATCAAGTTGGACGTTTCATATACCTTATGCAATTCTCTTCATATTACACAAAAAAAAATTTATAGAACATGTGATTCAAGGTCAACAATCCTACTTTGAATATTAACAGGCTACATGCCAAATGACTTCAGAATTACATCGGAATAAAGCTTAAGGCTTATTCTCTATAATTCTGAACAAAAATAATTATTATGAATTCAAGCATAAGTAGAAATGAAGTTTATTTAAGAATCTTCCAAAAACATGTTTGAGTTTTTGACTGTACAAAATATACAAGAGTAGGACTGGGAATTATTAAATCCAACATAATTAGAGCATTCATAACGCATATTGCTATAAGATCATTCTCAAACTAAAAGCTGATGGAAAGACTAACTGTCTCCTTACGGATTAATAACTAATCAATAAAGTTCAAAACTTCTTTCCCAAACTGTTCTAATTGAGAATGTAAAAAAGACAGGTTGAATCGAGAAAGATGCCCATCGCGTATTAATACGAGCACAGCAGTACTGGGCTTTACACTTCGTTTACTATCAATAAATTCAATCTGTCACGTTATCTTAATGCCTCGAACATACGTCAAAAAAGGCCAAGGGTCGCGTTATTCAAATGATGATTTTCATTCATTTTTTTATTGGTTAGTTATTAATCCATAAGGAAACAGTTAGTCTTTCCATCAGCTTTTAGTTTGAGAATGATCTTATAGCAATATGCGTTATGAATGCTCTAATTGTGTTGGATTTAATAATTCCCAGTCCTACTCTTGTATATTTTGTACAGTCAAAAACTCAAACATGTTTTTGGAAGATTCTTAAATAAACTTCATTTCTACTTATGCTTGAATGAATATAGTAACGGATAAGAGAAAAATATCATTGCAAGGAAGAAAAGCACTTACCACAATCATTATCTTTTTGAATCATTAATGCCACATTTTCATTTGGTTGCTTCACCAAAAAATAACGCCTGTCGGCGTTTGCTCTACCATAACCTCTTTCTTGTTCATTCGGTTGTAATCCTAAACACTAACAGAACATTCGGCATTCGAAGAAAAACAACGTTGAAATAGATATAAGTTTTACCTTGTTGTACAAAATCTTTTATTGATTGCTGGATGCGTCGCATCACAACTGGAAAATCATTGGCTAGTAGTAGTGATTCGTCGAAATAAGGTACATTTGGCTTTAGTTCTAAATGTTTTTCTTTTTTTCGCTTTTCTTTAGCTTGAATTTCTTCTATCTGTTTTGTTAATACATATTTTATTAAACCATCTAAAAAATTAAGCAAGGCTAATTAACAAATACGAAAATCAAGGATTATACCACTATTTTTCACTGATTTTGAATACTCAACACGATAAACCATTTTAACCTTTTATAAAGAAATCTGAAATGTAAATAACCATCAGCGAAAGAGAAAAATCATTTACGGATAAGCAAGCTGCTATTTTTGAGCTTTGAACGGAGTTTAATAAGAACAGATTCGATTAGATTTACAATATGCTTGTATTAAAACGCACCTGAATAACGCGCAGTGCTAATCATACTCGATCCGATGTCTTTCAGAAGAGAAACGGATTTGTCTTCTTTAGACAGATTTGCTCCTTTTCCTTCTAGTAAGCAGGTAAGTAACCAAAAAACTCGAAAATTTTAGTTTTTGATATGATTATCGCCTGCACCAATAAGTAAGAATAGTACCAACATATACAACTATGGCAACTTAGAACTCAGGAGATCTTTTTAATTTCCTTTGTTTTACTTTTTTTTACGCGATTCCTCTTGTCCTCTATTACATCATTTTTTGGACATCTATGAATAAAGCATGAATCGTTATATGTATAGAAAAAATGAAAAGTTGCTTTAAAATGGTCTCTTTTCTCTTTTTTTTCTCTACCACCGATTTTAACTTCTCATGATCACCAACCAATATTCTAGATAATGTAGCCTTAAAAAAATGGACCAATAGCGATAATGAGAAGTTGTGCGCAAGCGTGCGTCTAACATTTGAGCCTAGCTTTCCTGAACGTTTTTTAATACCCTAGACTAAAGTCAAGGGAATAATCATGTAGTAGCATTTGATGTCAAAATTGCTTCCTTCATGAATTTATTTGCAGCATCGGGAGCAAAAACTTTTTCTAGTCCCGGTAAAAGATTTGTATGCCATTCCATTAACTTTAGTGGTAAACTGTTATCTGACCACGCATTTTGTACAGAAATGTTTGCTCTTGCAGCCTATATATTTTAAAGTACAGCACAGGCCTTTGTTATCAATTAATTAGCAAATATAATGTGAATAGATGAATACAGTAATGTAGTTTGTCCTGAAAATGGCATGTAAAGAGACTAGTACACATCAGCAGAGTTTAACAAACCATGATTCATTGCACCTCTCTTCTCACTGATCAATTCCCGCCAATTATGAACAAGTTTTTAAACCACAATTACGCGACAGTGTTACATCGACTCATAAGCGACTTTGGTTATGCACACACAAACGAAGCTTTTTGGAAGCCACAAGTGAGAGGCTTTCTGAACTTTCAGACTGAGTATATTCTATACTATTGTTCTCCTGCATTAATTCCACAATGAAAATAAAATTAATTTCTTCACCTTTGAGACTAGATGATAATAACGTGCCTCGTTCCACTCATGCACGGCGTATACTTAAGGTGCAATAATGCGTAAAAGAGTAACATATACATAAATAAAAGACATATGTATAAACAACATAGACGAAAAAACATACACTATTTTTCCATGTGCAGCACAAATCCGATAAGAGTTTTAATTGCGTATCCGTTTAAAATGGATTTGAATAATTTAGAAAATGTAAGATATCAAGCAGATATATCGAGCAACGAAGATGGTCTGCAAGTATCTATTGATATACACAGACCGGAGGTATTAATTGTTGGTAATAATATTGTTAGTAGAGAAACACTAGAAAAATGACGTCGTGCGATGAGCCCGTCTGCAAAATTACAAATAATTCGACGCGGTTCGAGTATGACAGCCATTGATCTTAATGCAGCCGGGGAATTTCGAATTTGTTTGTATAAAACGCCAGGTGTGAATGCACTATTTGCTGCGCAATATATTTATGAAAGTTTAAATTTACCAATAGGAGCAAAACAAGGACAAATTTGCGTGGCTGTTATTGGTAGTGGTTCGATTGGTAGTAGAGGTGTTCAAAAACTGATACAAGAAAAACATAAAGTGGTTGTTTATAGCCCTGCCCTAGCTGTAGCTGATGATAATACACGCGGAATAATAGCTCGCAAAAAAGGTATACGGAATGAACAAAACGTTTCGTTTGCTAATTCACCCGAACAAGCTGTGCGTCAAGAACATGTTCTTTATGTCGTTATTGCAATTGATGCATGAAGTACCTACTATCCATTTCAAAAAAGAAGAAGCACGGCCATTTCTTTGATAACTTTTTCTAAGAAGCAGCTAAAAAGGTGCGGTTTTCAGTATCGGAAAGCGAAATGTTGGGGTAATATGAAAAACTAAAAA